GGAGAAGATCCGCGAGATCGCGGTGGTCTTGGAGGAGTGGGTCCCCGCGGACAACGACGAGGGCGTTCTCGACGACCTCCACCCCACCACGGCCATGATGCCCGCCGACAGCTCCCATCTCACCCCCCCCCTCGAAGAAGCAGTAGAACCAGACCAAGAGGTGGAGGACGGGGTAGCCGGGGAGGAGATGGACTCCCTTACGAACGGCGTCGCGGCGGTGGCGTTTGAGGGGGACGGGGCTTGCGGGGGTGAGAAGCCGCCGCCGCCGCCGCCGCCGCCTCCCGACTACGAGGAGCTTCTGCCGCCAGCGCCGGTGGACGGCGAGGGTAGTGCTGCTGCTGTTGAGGGCGACGGGGGCGACGCAGTCGAAAAGGTTGCAGAGGGGGGAGTGGCGACCCCGGACGGGAGCGATGCGCACTTGGAGGAGAAGGCCGCCGCCGCTAGTGCCGCACCCGTATCGGCCTGAGGGTTGCTGCGATAACAGCTGTCGCTCGATTAGACCGCAAGGTGTTTTAGGGATGTGGGTGGGGGAACTCCGTAGATGGGTTCGGTTTGTTGGTCGTTGGTTAGGGTTTGTTAACGTTCCTTGTTGTCCGTTTGTTTCCCCCCACCTCCCCTTGGTACGTGTAGCAGTATTGCACTTGTTCTATTATAGTAGCGTGCCGGTCCAGTTTGTTCTAGTCGTGCCATTTTTTGCTTGCATCAGGGGAGGGAGGGAGGGAATTGATTCAGCGTCACCCCCTTTCGTTTTCGGGGTCCCTTCAGTCCCGTTGTTATGTCGTTTCGGAAGAGGGGGGGTCCCCGAGGTTGGAAACGAGGGATCAGAGTAGGAGGGTTTTCGTGTGATTTGATTGTACCGGTACCAGTTTTGGGCATTTGAAGTAGAAGAAAGTGGCGCTTTTTTTGTTGTTTTTTGCGCTGGGAAGGTTGGTTTGGTTTCTCGGCGTTGGCTCGGCGTGCCGCTGTCTGTAGGGCACTTTCAGCATCCGTGCGCTCTGGTGAGGGGGACGAACGCAGGAAGTCGTGGGAAAGGGGTAGACTCAGGTCTTGGGGAGGAGGGTTGGGCTGAGTCCTCAGGAAGTTGATGGCCCTCTTTTTGTTCCCGGCAAACGAATAGCCTTACCCAGATGCGACTCTCTTTGTGATTGGCTCCTCAGGGTATCTAGGTTTGCTGGCCGGTGTGGAGATAGGAGGTAGAGGGGAGGATGTAGCGGGTGGTGCTAAATAGGAGCAGAGTATTTCACACCTATAGCTAGTTGGGGGTTGGGGGAGGCATGTACTGAGCAGCCAGCACTGCAGAACACGTGTCCTCCTCCATTGTATGTGGTGATATATTAACGCAAGGAACAGTCCGAGGAAGAACGCGCGAGAATAAACACAATCTAGACTAAAACACCGACTGCGGGGGCAACCGTTTGGTGTGCCCAGAGACGACGGCCAGTGGCAGCGAACCGGACGTTGTGCAGTGATCGTGAAGGGGCCGCGCGCTCTGAGCTGTCGTTGATGGCAGGCATTCCGCTTGCCAACCTGTCGTTGCAGGACGAGCGGAAAACGGGACCCAGTCATACCTTGTTGCAGCGGCTAGACTTGGTGTTGCTGGCTCGCACGAGCCGCGTCCCGTCCGTAGCGAAGATCTCATACGATTTCCCAGTCTGCACCAATTCCTCCCTGACCACGCCCTATCCCCCGAGAACCAAGACAGAGAGAGAGAGAGAGAGAGAGAGAGAGAGAGAGAGAGAGAGAGGGAGGTGGACAAGCGGCGCCGAGGGAAGGACAGCACCTCTGAGTACTTCTTACCCGTGAATCTGCTGGCCTGCTGCTGCGCTTTGTGTCCCTGGTCGGATTTCGAGAGGTGGATGTACTCTTGTTATGTATCACGAAGCAGGGACACGCTCTGCCTGCGAATCGGGTGGAATATCTGTGCCAGTATTTTGCGGGAGTGGTCGGCCCGTACATCCCGAGCAGAGAATGATGGGGGTTCCGATGAGGAAGACAAAACGGAAACACCGTAATCGCACTGCAAGACCCCAGTTCTGGGTGGGGGGGTTGTCGGCATGCATGCGTGCATCGTTTGTCTGTCACTTCGGGCGGAAGGGGGTCACTCCCGCCCACCCGCAAGGTCGGGCAACGCTACCCTTTCATGAACTCCGCAGAAAAACCCGTTTGGGCCAGCACCGCCTGCTTGACGCCCGTGCTCCCTTGCTCTCACCTCGAAATCATCGTCCCCTTGCGCGTCCATCTCCTGGCTGCGTCGCAACAATGGTGGCGACAGAGCGCACGGCGGCGGTGTTGGCGGCGGTCCGGGGGGGGAGGGGAAGGTTGGTAGAGCTCGGCATGACGGGGGAGAGAGTTGAGCGCGCACCAGCGCGGGCGTTTGGGTGCACGACGGCAGCAGCGTTCTGGATAGGTCGGCCGCACGCGCAAATGTGAAGTCGCGCGCGCCGTACCACCAAGTGCTGCTTTCAAGGAGAGCGAGCATTCTGCCTCTGGCATTTCGATGAGCACTGTCTTCGTTCCTACCACAGCTTGCTCTTTGAGGGTTTCTGGCCTGAAGAACAAGTGGTACTTGACCCTCGCTGCACCACTAGTCTGCACAATAACTAGTCTAGATGCGAGAAGGATATTGTACCTCACGAAAGAAAACCGTTCGCGTAACTGAATGAGAACAATCACCTCGAGTTTGGCATCTGATTGATAGAATTTGCGGCCATCTTGAACGTAACTTTAGCCGGGACGGTGGCGAGCTGGGACGCCGGAGCAACCTGGTTGTTGTATACGAAGAAAAAATGTCGGGCAAATAATGCATATTTTGAGCCATCCCGTCGTTTAGTCCGCCCCCCCCGGTGTTTGCCATCGGGGCTGGGTGTTCGTCGCTTGGCAACGACGTTGTAAAACAAGCCCCCCCCTCGGTGTTTGCCATCGGGATTGGGTTTTCGTCACCTGACAACGACGTTGTAAAACAAGCCAAGTCACTTCGTGAACTAGGCAACCAGGTTACCGTTAGTTTTTTTTACCTTTGTTTTTGTTTGGATCATGTTGTGCAGGGTGGAGAACCCTCACTCCGCGCTAGGGGGATGATCGCACCACGTCGCCTTAAGATGATCAAGCACCCTCGAGGCAGTTACACAGTGCTTACAACTGTCTC